GGCAAGGAACTTTGGCCCGTCCACATGAGTGGATCCAGCCCCGCTCAAGCCTTCGGATGACGCAGCCCCAGCTGAGATCACACTGTAACCTCATGGGAGAGCCTGAGCCAGGACCGCCCCACTAAGCTCCTCCCGGATTCCTGACCCTCCGGAACAATATGATGTCATAAATGCTCATTGATTGGAGCTGCTGACTTTGGGGTAGATTCTGATGCAGCAACAGAAACTCACTCAACTACTTTCCAAACTTTACTCAAATGTGCATTCTCAGGGAAAACTTCCTTGGCTATTCTTCTAAATATGTATTTACTTATTTTTGAGAGAGAGCGAGGGAGACACGGAATTGGAAGCAGGCTCTAGGCTCTGAGCTGTCAGCACAGAGCCCGATGTGGGTCTCGAACTCCCAAACTGTGAGATCATGACTTGAGCTGAAGTTGGACGTTTAACCGACTGAGCCACCCCAGCGTCCCTTGGCTATTCTTCTAAAATTACATCCCTTTCTAATCCCCCTTCCCTGCTTTATTCTCTTTAGTAGGCACCGCCATCTAACATGCTATGTTTTACTTTCATATTTACCTTTCTTCTGGTGTGACTCCCTCCCTCCACCCCCATCAGAAAAATTTAACTTCTCATTCATGGAGAATGTTACATGTGGACATTAAAAAATAGAATAGCATCATAACTACCAGAATGCAAGCTGGGGGTGGAGGGTGTTTAACCAGTTATGTTTCCTGCAGTATCCGCAGGGCACAGAATACCACCAGATGCAGAGTAAGCCTGCAGGTATAGTGCTGGCATGTTCAATAATGCAATTTATTACATCAAATATTAACCATGTTATAAGTATTGCTAATATTTATGTGACATTAATAGGACAAACCCATTGATTTTCAGAATGATTGTCAAACAGGCGCCTGGGTGGCTCAGTCGGTTAAACGTCTGACTTTGGCTCAGGTCACGATCTCATGGTCCGTGGGTTCAAGCCCCGCGTTGGGCTCTGTGCGGACAGCTCAGAGCCTGGAGCCTGCTTCCGATTCTGTGTCTCCTTCTCTCTCTGCCCTTCCCTTCCTTGCACTCTGCCTCTGTCTCTCAAAAGTTAGTAAACATTTGAAAAAAAAAAAAAAAAGAATGATTCTCAGGTACAGAATGGTGCGCAGACTAAAACAGGACCCTTGTGCGGCAGCTCCTGGCACTGGGCTACGGGGCACTGGTGTAGCTGGCATGTGGTGGTCCTTGCTGGGAGACTGAGCCCCAACCCTGCTGCTTGTCAGTCGAGGCCTCAGTTTCTTCCCTTAGAAAGTGGAAATGATAGCATCCATTACATAGGTACTTGGGGACCATTAAAGGAGATGCCCAATGTGGAGGGGCTTGGGGTAGGCCAGGCACGAGTGGATGGGTCTTCAGAGAGTCGGTGGTTCACTTCCTGTGGAGGGTCTGTGGTTGGAAGTCAATTTCCATTTAATTTTAAGAAGGGGTTGGGAAAGCCCTGTAGCCAGAAGCCCCTTACTGGTGTGATTGCGAAGCCAAGGAGCCAGGAGATGCAGCCTCTGAGCTGTCAGCACAGAGCCCAATGTGAGGCTCGAACTCACGAACTGTGAAATCATGACCTGAGCTGAAGTCAGACGCTCAACAGCCTGAGCCATCCAGGTGCCCCAGAAGGAAGAATTTTTTTAAAGGGCAAAGAGGAGGGGACTGGAGGAATCTCCGAGGCCAGCCAGGACCCCAAAGGGCCCAATTCCCTCTTGAGCTGGTACCTGTGGTTATTTCACTTGGTTGCCACCGGGGGCAGCAGAGAGCCACCACCAGAGCCAGGCCAGTGGACCAGTGGGGAGCAGGTGACCGCTGGGATTGGACAGGGAGTAGGGGGTGGGGAGTCGGGGTGGGACCAGGTGGGACAGGGAGGGCGGGGCTTACACCTTCCCCAAAAGGCAAATCACCAGGACCAGTGGCGTCGATCCAGGGGGTCCTTGTGGCTTTCGCACTGGAAGCCAGTATTTCTAATGCAAGCAGGATGCAGTCTGAACAAGGACAATGAAGTCCATAAGCTTAAAGTTAGTAACTCCTGCCTCGCTTCCTGTTTTATTATTCGCATCAGTGTTGTTATTCTTGTAAGGAGGGGCCATCTGTGCTTTGAAACCCAGATTTGCGTCTCTGCCCTCCTTTTAACTAGACTGTCTCCGAAAGTTTTATTCTCCACGGCAGCCACTGTCATCCACCGACAGGGGAATTAAAATCTCCAGCTCGTAGCCTTGACGGGCCGGTTTGGTCCACCGTCAGTTGATCTGTGCGTGTGGCTTTTCTGGGGTTAGCGGAGGAAGTCCGAATTGCTGGGAAAAGTGTGTTTCTCGTGAATTGCATTCTCTCCAAGAACACGTCTCACTTCTCCAGGCTGACCTCGCCATGCTCCCTAGAGCTCCTGGGACCTGCATGGTGACCATGCTGGTGGTAGGAGTCGGGCTGTTTCTGGAATCATCTAAAGCCCGAGGGATGGATCCCCAGAGAATGCAGAAGAGCCTTAATCCAGGGCAACTCGGGCCCCAAACTGCCACTTGAGTTTTGCTTTGACGGGGTCGACGAGCCTGGTGCGCTGTAAATAGATTAGGGAATCTTTTATTGGAAAAAGCCTAGAAATGGCTTCCTCCCTGTGGGCAATCTGGTCATCTGGGGTGATGTTTCCCGCTGCCGGTGAGGTGACTCAGCCTCAGGGACTCTCCAGACATCCGCCAGGCCTGGCCTGTCCGTGTTCCTGCCTCAGACTTGGAGTGGCATTGGGTTTGGGGCTGGCCCAGAGCCGGCCAAGCGAGCATCCTTTAGAGAGTTATGGCGCCCAGATGGCGTTCGGCCGGACAGACGTGGCTCATAGGGGAATGATGGACTCCAGCTTCTGGGGGGCCTGTGAGTGACCCCGGCCAGCGAGCGCAGGCCTTCCGGTGAGTGGGGCTCTGACCGGAGGCCCACATCTGCCTGTGATCTCGGGGCTTCCTCCTGCAGACGCCTCAGCACATGACCTCACACGGCTTCTCTGCTCTCAGCACATTTTCTCTTGTTGCCGGAGTCTCTGCCTCTTGCGATCCCCTTCCCTGGAGAGCCCGGGCTGGGGCGGGAGGAACAAGACACAGAGACTTCTCAGCTAAAAAGCATCTTCAAATTAAGCTCTGCTTTGTTTCCCCCGATCTCGGTGGCGGTTTGCAGGTCCCAGAGGATGGAGGGGAGAGTCAAGTTCTCATGTCTGTTGCTGGCTCCTCTCCCTCCCCCCAAGACTGCCAATTCATACTTTTATTTATTTACTTCTCAGTAAGTTTCAGTCCCTGAGGGATCCTGTGTCCCATAGATGCAGTGACCTCAGCAGGAAGCTTGCTTTGCGTCTGGCCCGAAACGCCCCGCTACTGTCCCGATGCCCCGAGTCACCTCCCCCTGCCGCCCTCCGGTGTTCCCCTGTCTACCGCCAGGAGCCATTTGCCCGCCATGTTCTTTGGTCCGTGCGCATGCGCGTAGCTCTTGTCCGACTAGAACCCGAGTTTCACCTTGGGCATCACCAGCTTCAGTTTTAAGAGGAGCTGGTGCTCTGCGTAGAGGTGGCCCACTGACCTTGGAGCACAGCCGTCCAGGGGCTTGCCGCCCGGCTCCCAGCCGACTTTCACAAGCCCAGACGTGGCTGCTGGGTGCTCTCTGAAATCGGGTCTGTGGCGTCAGCCACCAAAGGCGTAAAGGCACTTTTCCCACCTGTTGGAAGAACAGAGCTGGCTGTCTCTGGAGACTGGAAGGTCACAGCACATAGGAACCTATGTCGTGCCGTCATGGTGTCCATCTTTCAATTTGCCCGTCTGTCCGGGCACATAGACCTGACTCTCAGGGAGATGACATAGGGGTCGAGGTCAAGGTCTGTGCTGCCTGAGAGGTGGGACAGAGTGCCGACTCCCTTGGAGGAGCTAGATGGAGTGTGTGCGCTGGGGTGTGTGGGTGTTGGGGGCTCTTAGGTCTGGTTCTCAGATGAACTTGAGACAGATTTAGGTGCAGGAGGTTCAGGAGCGGGTAGGGGAATACTCTTGGGAGCAGCCCCTGGGGAAGGGAAGGGAGCGGTAATGTAGTAAAGTCACAGGAAGGGCCCCTGGCCAGCCCCTGGGAACTCCGAGCTGTGTGGAATCGTCTGCCTCGGTGCAAGGGAATTGGTGGCCTTTTAACCCCCAACATCGGCCAGCCAGCACTCCGTGCCCCCCCCCCCCGCCCCGATCCCAGACGTGGCCTTGTGCACCCAAGAGGGACTTGAAAATAAATCTCAAGAGATACCGAAATGTTGACTTAGAGCTGTGCGATTATGGGTGCTGACTCCTCTGTGTATTTCTATGTCCTCAAATAGTACAGAGCGAGAAGCATTCTTTTTCTCGCCGGATAACTTTATGAGAAGTCTCTGCTCACAGCGGCGACGAGGCTCACGTCGCGTTCAGGCGGCCACCACGCGGCCGCGGTGTTAGCTTGACTCCTTGCTGGACACCCGGGGAGGGGGAAGGGGCCAGGCTGACGCAGTGGCTGGAATTCAGACCCGGCGTGGGCCTGGAGAGCCGGGAAGGACTTGGGGAATCACTCTCACTTGACGGAGGACCCATGTCTCTGCACAGACCCCAGGCCAGGGCTCCTTCCTCTGGCTTTGGGGTTTCAGGTGACAGTGGGCGCTTGGGAGAAACAGCCAGTGAGCGGCTGGGTCCCAGGGCACGGGACAGAAGTGGAGGCGCCTGGGTTGGCAGCCTTGGGGGATCGGTGGGGGCTGGGGGGGCCGAGAGGGACATTTCCAAGGGTCCCAGCGGAAGCGCCATCATCCTGGCAGGTGGGGAGGGGGATGGTGTGGGAGCGGAAGGCCAGCCCCCCCCCGCCCCCCCCGCCCCCCCCGGGCTGGGGCAGGATGGTGGCCGGCCGGGTCTCCTCTGCCATCTAGCTCTGCTGGGACCCTCCGGGGCTCTGCCCTGTGACAGTCTCAAAGTGATTGTGTTTCTTTCTTTGACCAGAGACCACCTGGGAACGCCCCAGCAGTTCTTCTGGGATTGCGGCCAGCCCTGGCCCTCACAGGAGCTCTCTGCCTCCAACAGGTACAGTCTACCCGCTATTTGGGGGCAACGGGGAGGGGCTGCACACCCCCCTTCACCGGAAAGGCCGGGACTGTGGGTGCTGGGGTCTGGAGCCCGGCTGGGGGGGGGAGGGCGCGGTCTGGAGGGCTCGGAGGACGGGCCGTCCCTGGCAGTGTGGGCAGCACGCCGGTGCCTCACCGTCGCTCCCGGTCAGCTGCTTAGGGAGAGAAGGCGGCCGGGTGAGGCGTGTGGCATCGGGCTCTAACCTGGCTGCGAGGGCGGGTACAGAGCTGCTCCACGCCGTTCCCGAGCCCACCACGGCGTAGAAGTTAAAGGGGGCAGCTTTTTACGGGGCAGCTTGCAAATAGAATGTTCTGGAAGGGACTTGGGATTCCTTGTCAGGGTCTGAGTTCTCTGTCTGCAGGGGGAATCAGGTGGAGGTGGGTGAGGCGGCCGGTCCTGTCGCAGGCGTCTTAGAAGTCGCAGCTTGTCAGACCGGGGCCGTGGGCACCTCGCGTCTCCGTGCCCAGCCTGCTTCTGCCCGGGTGTACGCATCGAGGGCCTGGAGGAGGGAGGTGGTGGCTCAGGTCCCCTCCAGCCTCCGGGGATTCTGACCCTCGATTCTCTCCTCCTCGGGGCGTGGGCACATCGACGCTCTGGGGCGGGAGGGAAGAGGCCTTCCCGGGAGGCGCTCGGGGCATCCGTGAGGCTTTGACACCTTCTTTTCTAAGTTCCGCACGGAACCTCGGATCAGAAGAAGGGAAGAGTGGCCTCGTCGGCATTTCTTCCCACGGGAGCACCAGGGTTTGTTTTTGGTTTTTTTCCCGTGTATTCTCTCGTTTGGTTTTGGAACAGGCGGCTTTCAGGAGGTTGGATTTGGTTGTGGGAGGGACACGGACTCGGCGGGGACACGAAGTTGCTTCCGAGCTTAGCCGTCCCCGCCCCCACACTCTGGGGCTGCTGACTTCCCCTCCTGGGGACCACTCAGGGCAGCAGTGACAGACTTTCAAACCTTTCCTTCAAAGAATATGCCGGATGCTATTCTCGGTGCTGGGGACTGCGCCACAGATGAGCCACGCCTGTGCGGTCCCCGCTCCCGGGACCCACATTCTAGTGGGGGGTTTGGGCAAATAAGCCCAAATGTGAAATGTGTTGGGCTGTTCCTGCATGTTCTTGTGCAAGGAGTGAAAGTGAGGGCCTTGGGGCAGTGTAGGACTGGAGAGTCACGAACGGCCCCAGTGAGGAGAAGATGGGTATGTGTGTGGGGTCGCAGTGATGTGTTCTGGGCCATGGACAGAGGTGCAAAGGTCCTGGGGCAGGGGTGACCTTGGCGTGTTTGAGAACACAGCGCAGGCCAGTGTGTGGCTGGAGGGTGGAGGATGAAGGGGAGAGCGGGAGGCGATGAGGGGAGGCCAGTCCGCAGGGGTGGAGCCTGCGACCGCTCCTCCCCTCCCCTGCCAAGCCAGAGGAAGGTGTCAGTTTCATTCTGAGTACTGTGGTTGGGGTTGAGGGTAAGAGTGAAATGCATTAGAGGCGTCTTCATGAGACATTGCCTTTTTTTTCTTTAAGTTGATTTTTTTTTTTTTGAGAGAGAGAGTGAGCACAAGTGGGGGAGGGGACAGAGAATTTCCCAAGCAGGCTCCGTACTGTCAGCGCAGAGCCCCACGCAGGGCTCAGACTCTGCAACCAGGAAATCATGACCAGAGCAGAAATCGAGAGTTAGACTCTCAACAGACTGAGCCCCCCAGGCGCCCAGAGACGCCGCCTCCTTGAAGCAGCCCGGCACTCCTTGGCTCTATCAGAATGGCTCTCGGTTAGCAGCGATGGGCGTTGGGGTGATTACGCGCACGGTGGGTGGGGAGGGCGAAGGCAGCGTGGAAACCTCAGCCACATTTGCTGACCACAAATATTCCATGTGGTCCCTTCTGCAGAAAAACATGGAAAAACAGGTCAGGATGAACACCAGTGGGAACCACAAATCAGCCCGGGCCACGGTGCTTTCTGGAGGCAGAAGCGTGAGGGCGGCCATGGGGCTCTTTACCTCTTGAGTTTTGGGAGCTTCTGGGGAAGGTTTGAACACTCACCTGTGGCCAGGGATTGGTTCGTTCTCAGTGCAGGTTCGTCGGATGCTGAAAGCTTAGCCAGCCAGGCTTCCCACGGGGAGCGAGGTCTGGGAAGCTGCCCAGTGCCCCCCCAAAAAATGGCATTCCGCTCTTTGAATGTTGGGTGTCACGTAGCGTCGGCACTGAGCGGGGGGCTTTTCCGGGTTTTCTGGGCGAGGTCCGCGCCAGTAGTGAAGTTTGAACCCAGACAGAAACCCCAAAAGCTCTATTCCGTAACTGCTGCGAATACTAAAGATGATCCTTGGGCTGGTCTGATATGCCGAGCGGAGGCAGGGATTTATGGAGAGAGAGAACGAGTCAGGGTGAGACGGAAAGAAAGTACCGGGTGAAAAATGAGGTTCTGGGAGGCTCGTGGATGCGTCACGGGGTGGATGGCTGAATCCATAGAGCAGCGTCGTCCAGGAAAACATTCTGCGGGAACAGAAATGTGTGTGATCGCCGCTGTCCGCTGCGGTCGCGCCAGGCATGTGGCTAACAGTTACTCGAAGTGCGTCCAGTGTTGCTGAAGAACTGAATTTTTGACTTGCTTTTACTCTATTTAATGTATGTGGGTTTTTTTAAATTTTGGAATATATTAAAAAAATGTTTTAACGTTTACTTATTTTTGAGAGAGACGGAGCATGAGCAGGGAAGGGGCAGAGAGAGAGAGGGAGACACAGAATCGGAAGCAGGCTCCAGGCTCCGAGCTGTCAGCACAGAGCCCGACGCGGGGCTTTAACCCACGAACGGTGAGATCATGACCTGAGCCGAAGTTGGACACTCAACCGACTGAGCCACCCAGGCGCCCCTATATTTTATTTAAATTTAATTGGTTAGAATTGAACAGCTACCTGTGACTCATGGTGACCTCATCAGCCAGAGTGTGGAGAGTGAATTCCCTTCGGAGCTTCTGGGCCTGGGACATGCACCGAGCTTTTGTTTGTGTTTCTCTTCTTTAAAAAAAATTTTTTTTTTTTAATTTGAGAGAGAGAGAGTGCAATCAGAGGGGAGAGGGGCAGAGGGAGAGAGAATCTTAAGCGGGCTCTATGCTCAGCACTGAGCCCATCATAGGGCTCGACCCCACCACCCTGGGATCATGACCTGAGCTGAAGTCAAGAGTCAGATGCTCAACCGACTGAGCCCCCCAGGGGCCCCTTGATTGTGTTTTTCTGAAGGTTGGAGGCAATCAGTCTTTTACTGACTTGCCCTGGTGGCGAAGGGGTAGGAGGGGGTGGGAGTCGTCGGGGAAGCCAGTTCAAATTCTGGCTTTGTCCAGCCTGGGAGGGATTGTCCTTAGGGGATGGGCCACCCTTCCAGTCCCTGGGGAAGCCAGATCAAAGGGGCATGAGCGAGCTCTCATGCGGATCAGGGAGGGTCTGCCTTGCGGAGTGGCCGTGCTTCCCCTGAGGGAAGCCCCTGAGCTTCCCCTGAGGAGGGGCTCACCCTCTCCCACACCCTCTCCAGACCAGGAAGCCCTAACCACTGGCCTCCCCTACGTCGTAGCCAAGCAGGGACCCCCCCATTCACTGCAGAATCAGCAGGTTTCCTAGAGAGGCTTCCGTGGCCCTCGGCGAGACCCCCCCATCGACCTCAAGGAAGGCGGTTAACACTTCCTGTTGGAAGGAGGCTCGCGTTTTGTTCCTGACTCCGTGATTTTGTCAGTTCAAGCCCCAGAGGGACCTTCCTGGAACCCGTCGAACCTTTGACGTCCTGGAGAATAGCCACAGGCTTCCAGCCCCTTCCAGCCCCAGGGACAGATGTGTTTTGGGTTCTGTTTTGGGGGATACGGTTTTCATTTCTGACGATCGTTGAAGACAGTGAGTGCCAGCTGGGCAGACAGATGCTTCTAGACCAGAAGGCTGTCGGGTAAAACTGCTCCCCTAAACAGAGCCTGGTAGACGCAACCTCCCTCCACCACACAGGGTGCGGCGAGGGCGTGAGGCAGGGGTTGCACCCGGGGTGCCTTCAGAGGTTCTGAGCTCAAAACCGGCCCCCGTGTTTGCCTCGGTTCGCCTGCCCTCACTACCTGCCGCCTTACAGCCACAGCTGTTCCCAAAGTGGGTTCCGTGGTAGTCTTGCTTCACTGCCCGGAACGGGCTCTGCATCCACATGCGTGTGGGAGCACCACACACCATTGCTTTGCTTGAGGTCCCCGGAGCTCATCAGCATCCAGGAATACTCGTCAGGGCCTCACGGACGGGGGAGATTTCTCCAGATGGAAGGTCTGTGCAAACCCCGCGTTGAGAAAGTCCGTCGGTGCCATTGATTTTTCTCCCCCAACAGCGTTTGGTCGCTTAATGTCTCCATGTCACGTTGCAGCAATTCTCTCAATGTTTCTGACTCTTTGGTTACAAGTATATATGTTATGGTGATTTGCTTTGTGATCAGTGATCTTTGATGTTACTCGTGTGATTGTGTTTGGGGCACCGTAAGCCGTGTGCGTATGGGACCTTGAACTTCACTGACAAATGTTGTGTGTGTTCTGACTGTTCCAACTGGCCATCCCCGCGTCTCTCCTGCTTCTCAGGCCTCCGTCTTCCCTGAGACACAGCAGTGTTGAAACGAGGCCAGTTGAAAACCCTACAACGGCCTGTTAAGTGTTCAAGGGGAAGGAAGAGTCGAATGTCTCTCGTTGTAAATCAAACGCTAGAAATGATTGAATTCCATAAGGAAAACATGTTGAAAGCTGAAACAGGCCAAAACTTCCACCAAAGTTGGCCAAGTGGTGAGTGCCAAGGAGAAGTTCTTGAAGGAAATGGAAAGTGCTTCTCCAGCGAACACACGAAGGATGAAAAAGAGAAACAGCCTTATTGCTGACGTGGAGAAGGTTTGGGTGGTCTGGACGGAAGGTCAGACCGGCCCCAACATTCCCTGTGGCCAAAGCCTAATCCAGGGCAAGGCTCTAACTCCCTTCAAGTC